TTTTTTTTTTTTTCCGAAACCAGGGATTGAACTCAGGCCTTTGCGCTTGCCAGGCAAGTGCTTATTCTACTGAGCCATCTCCCCGGCCCATCTGATAAGTTTTGATTGAACCTTTATACCTTGTACTATAGAGATGCTGGGGGAATGAGATACACATTTCTGTCCTTGTGTACCTGATGCAGTGAGAATAGGTGGATGTCCTACATGAAAGGCAATAAATTTAATACACAAAACATTTCAGACAGAAGTGAGAATTTATGAAAATAGGAAAAGGAGGTTATATTGGGCAAGACAGTGGTGGGTTGCTGGCCTCTTTGAAGAAGGGCTACAGCTTGAATGATCCAAAACCAGATGAAACCAGATGAATGATAACAGGAAAGGTACTGACAGCAATGATAACAAGTGCAAAGGCCCTGAGGCAGCCAAATTAGTCTTATTACAGGAATGCAGGCATTCCTGATAAAGTGGAAAACCAGGGTTCATTCCTTCCACTATTTAGTCACTTTCACAATCTGGACTAAAAGTGTAAATCTATTCCTCAGTTGTTTTTTTTTTTAATTGTGTAGCTTTTTATTCAGCTTCAAATGAATAATAACAGCAATTAGCATTTGGATAATGCTTTACAGTTTACAAAAGGTTTTCACATGTTTTACCTTATTTAGAGTAAGGTAGGCATACATCTTATCTCTTTGTCAATTTCTTTTCTTTTTTCCAGAAGTAGCAATTTTATATAGTCATCATGGTTTTTTAAATTGCTGAATAACATCTATATAAAGATTTCAAAATAAGAATGTCAAATAAACAGTACACAGGTTAGGAATATGACTTAATCTGTGTTGTTCAATGAAAAAGAGAGGAATGGTCCTCAGTGCAGCAGATGATTAGAGCCCTACAATATCAGATAAGGAGATGGAGGAGGCTTGCCTTTGACTTCTTCCCATTATGAATAATGCAGAGCCAGAAAGTACATGCAGCTAACCTCACACTGCCAATTACATTACAGAGGACCTTCAAGTCATGAAGCCAGTGATCAGAATGCACTGTGGAATCCAGACATTGCTAAAATTCATTTTTGTTAGTGTCAAATCATTTATATACACTCTAACATCCTATCTCTTTTTTTTTCTTTTCATCTTTAAAAAATTTATTTATTATTTTTTCCATAATTTTATTGAGAAACAAATAGCAATGAGACAGTTTCAAGCCAAATTGGTAGGACAGTTTCAATAATTAACACATTGCATACTCTCTTCCTAGTGGTTATTTGCTGTACAAGATGCGGACATGATTATCCTATTTACAAACACCATTAGAACAAATCCCTCTATTCATTAAGAGAATGTAACTATATATCTATCCTAACCATTTTGAATACACAGATACAAAATGGACATTCATCTGTATTCCCTTTTTTGTTTAGTTCCATTATTTGAATATTATAGGTGTGTTAATGCAGCCAAATATTTTTATTTTTTTTTGCAGAACCGGGGATTGAACTCAGATCCTTACGTTTGTCAGTCAAGAGCTTATCCTACTGAGCCATCTCCTTGGCCCCCCGCAGCCAAATATTCTTTTTTTAAAAATTTTTTTTAAATTTGTGTATGTGTGTGTGTGTGTGTGTGTGGTCAGCTCAGCCCACCAGGGGGCGGGGCTGGCTGGCATGTGGTGCTGGGGGATTGAACCGCGGTCCCTATGCTTTGCTAAGCTTGTTCTAAGTAGGTGCTCCAGACCACTGAGCCATCTCACCAGCCCAATATACTTTTCTACTGGATGGTTAAGACCAAAGTAAAGCAAGACCTATGCAACAAGAGTTGTAGCTTTTGGGTCTGATAAGGTCAGTGAAATCCCCTCAGGATTTATCCTGAGATTCTGTACCTCAAATTGTAGATCCTTTGTCAGTGTCAGCCATGTGAATGAGTCACGGCCATTACTTGGCCAGTGTGCTCTCTGTGAAAGCCTGAGAGAATGCTTTCTCTCCATGTGACTCTCCTTAGGCACACTCTACATCATCAATCACTTTCCTCTTTGGCCCCATAATCTCCTTGATCAGAAAATTTGGGACACTACTGAGTTACATGATGTTATAGTACAAGTTCTCATTTGTCCTGAGTCTTAATTGACCTTGGAAGGCTAGGGCCAAAATGTTGGCTTTTATTCCTCAGTTTTGAGGAACACTGTGTTGGGGGGGGGGTGGGAAGCAGGCCCTAGGACTGAATCCTCCTGGACTTCTAACTATGATTCTCTCCCTCATGAGATGCAAATGAAATCAGAGTTCAGCCTGGAGAGTGTATTCATTTGCAAATGTTAACAATTTTGTCATCCAGCCTTGTACTCCAAGAATCATTCCTTTAACTTGCCAAGCTCCCAGCAATTGGCAATAAACTTGTACTTCCTCTCCTATTTCTCATCCATGGGTAGACCAGCTGCTCTTTTCAGAACCAGCAAAATGAGGCCCAGCACTTAGGGTCAGGACTTGCCTGGAATTGCAGGGGGCAGAATCAGACCCTGGGCTGCCTGGCTTGTAACCCTATTTACATAGTAGCTGAGTACTCACCAGGTCCTGTTCTTGTTCTGTCTTTGGACCAACATGGTCTCATTTTTATCACTAAGAGGCTTATTCACATTCTACTACTGTCCTCCAACCCAACTCCTAGTGCAGGCTATTGAACCCAGGGCCTTGCACATGCTACGCAAGTGCACTACTAATGAGACAGGGTCTCACTAGGATGTCCAGGATGGCCTCAAACTTGGAACTGTCCTATGTCAGCCTGTCCAAGCTCCACTATATTCTATCCATAATTCCAAAGTCCAAAAAGCTCTGGAAACCACCCTCTTCCTCCAAGTTTGATACCGACCTGACCTAAGGAGGAACTATTTTCAGTAATCTATCTCATTTACTGTGAACATTCACACTTTTCCTTGAGGAAATAATATTTTTTAATTTTTTTTATTTATTTATTTATGTGTGTGTGTGTGTGTGTGTGTGGCCAGCTCAGCCCACTGGGGGCGGGGCTGGCTGGCATGTGGAGCTGGGGGATTGAACCATGGTCCCTGTGCTTTGCTAAGCTTGTTCTAAGTAGGTGCTTTAGACCACGGAGCCATCTCACCAGCTCCAATAATTTTAACATCAATGAGAATGTTAAAAAATATACCATAAATGCACCAGCAAGACTTTGTAAAATCTAAATTATTCCAAATCCTGGAAACACACTTGGCTCCAAAGCCTTTCGGAATTAATCACGGTCTCAGGGGGCCTGCCCATTAGCTCAGTTGTTGGGGCCGGGGAGATAGCTCAGTAGAAAGGGCCTCAGTTCAATCCCCAGTTCAAAAAAAAATCATGGTCTCAGCCCTTTTCCAGCTAAGAAAACCGAGTCACACTCTCCCTAAAGCTAGATTCCCGCGGTCTTAATTTGAGGCAGCCTTTTGGAGTTCGAAAACAGTGATCGGCGAACTGTCTCTTGAGATCGTTGTCTTCATCCCCGCAGCTGATGCAAGAAGCTGTCCAGCATCTCGAAGATGGGGCGCCCTGGGGGCTGCGCCCCTGGCCCTGACTGTCCTAGGCGGGCGGGGCGAGGGGGCTTCCGGGGCGGCAGCCACCTGGCCCGGCCCTCTCCGGCCCCGCCCGCTTCTGCTCGGCGCGGTGATTCACTCCCTCCTTCGCCTCGGGGGCCCCCTTCTCGGCCAGACGGCGGGCTAGACGGCTGGGTGTGCAGCGTGCTCGAACCCGTGAGCAAGAGAGCAGAGCCTCTGCGTGTCTAGGGACCCCCGTTCACGCCATGGCGGATTCCGAGCGCCTGTCGGCCCCCGGCTGCTGGGCCGCCTGCACCAGCTACTGGCGCACCCGAAAGGGACTCCTTCTGTTTGCCGAGATTGTGAGCGTCGTGGGGCTGGCGGGTGGGTGGAGATGGTGGGCTGGCTGGGCCACGCGGTGCGGGACAGCCGGCTGGGAGGTGGGTACGTGGGCCAGGCGCGGGGCGGAGAAGCTCAGGTGAGCGGGGCTGCGTTGGGGGCTCAAAAAGAAATGGGGGACAGTCAGTAGGCTTTGGGGAAGAGGGTGCGAGCTCTCGGTGGCGTGCGGCAGAGTCGAGAGGACTCTAATTTCTGTGGGGTGCTTGGTAGGAAAGCTCTCGTGGGCTCCTCCGTGGGCGCAGAGAGGGAGTCCTGGAGGCTGGAAAGTGGGGGCCTCCTGTAGCAGGGCGTGGCGCGGCCTGGACACCGGCGGGCGGGCTGGCAGCTCGCCAAGAGGCGGCGCCTGTTGGGGTGGGGCCCGGCCTCTAGCCCCGCAGGGTAGGGCGCCCCACCCTTTGTCAGGTCTTCTTTGCCCTTTTGGCACTGTATGGAAGGTCCTTAGCTCTTAGGACGGCTGGGGAACCTTGGTTGCCCGCCTCCCTAAAGGTGGGCAACACCGTTGAGTCACTTGTAAAAGGGGTGCGGCGCCTTTAACTTCGTCCTGCCCCTCCTGTGTGACTCTCTGCTTCCCAGAGGGGTTGCTGGGGAACCACAGTCCCGCCCCTTCAAGGCTTCGAAGTCTTGGCCAGTGGTGCTCACCAAACACCTAGGAGCCTGGGCCGCTCCTAGCCTACAAGGGGAAGGGAAACCAAGGCCCCCAGCTCTGCTCCTTACTTGTCTGGCAAGGCACTTAGTTTTTCTTTTTTCTTTGGTTTTTGGAGACAGGGCCTTACTTGGTAGTCAGGCTGGCCTTGAATTTACTATGTAAGCCAGGCTACCTTCAAACTTGCAGGGATCCTCCCTCACCTAGGCCTCTGGGGTGCAGGGCTTACAGGCCTGAGCCATCTCACTCTGCCACTCAGCTTTTGTTTTGGTGGTGCTGGTGGTACATTTTAAACAGGTTTTCACTATGTACTGCATGCTGAGCTTAAACTTGCTTATGTAGCCCAGGCTGGCCTCTTAACTCATGGCGATCCTCCTGCCTCAGTCTCCAAGTGCTGGGATTACAGGCATGCACCACCCTGCCCAGTTTATCCTGCCCAGTTTACCCTCAGCCTTTCTTACTCACCTTTTTCATCTGTGAAATAGAGATACACGCTCATTAATTTAATGTGATGACTAAGTGAATCAGTGTTTCTAAAGTTACAAGAACAGTGCTTGGGGCACAGTAAGTAGCACATAAAAAGTACTGTGTGTAGCAATTATTGTGTGACATCTCCCCAGCCTTTTTTTTTTTTTGGTGGAACCAGGGATTGAACTCAGGCCCTTGTGCTTGCCAGGGAAGCGTTTATTCTACTGAGCCATTTCCCCAGCCCTCCCCAGTCTTGCTTGATAGGATTTGAGAAGTTTCTTTGCCTCTGGTAGTGAGCAGAAATATGTAGCTAAGGCACTCTACCACTGAGCTACACCCCCAGCTCTGAGAAGTGCTTTTTTTTTTCCCCTGGTAGTCATCTGCGTTTCAGAATCCCCTCCCCTAATTTAAACCAATCCTCTCAGGCTGGGGATGTGGCTTAGTGGTAAGAGTTTTGCCTTGTATGCATAAGGCTCTTGGTTCAGTTCCCAGCACCACAATAAAATAAAGCAATCCCTTCAGTCCTGGGAGTTGATGGAGGTTCCCTTCCCATTTCCACCCTTTCAGATACTGTGCCTGGTGATTCTGATTTGCTTCAGTACATCGACATCAGCGTATTCCTCTCTGTCAGTGATTGAGATGGTCCTTGCTGCTGTCTTCTTTGTCATCTACATGTGTGATCTGCAGACCAGGACACCATTTGTCAACTGGCCCTGGAGTGTGAGAGGGGGCACAGTGTTGGGCACAGGCTTGGGCATTTGGGATTCCCCGGGGAAATCTGGAACCTGACTCACTTTTCTCCCAACACCTCATAGGATTTCTTCCGAACCCTCATAGCGGCGATCCTCTACCTGATCACCTCCATTTTTGTCCTCGTTCAGGGAGGAAGCAGCTCCAAAATCACTGCAGGGGTAAATGCTGTCGTGACAGCTCTAAAGTACAGGGGAGAAGGGTTGGACTACCCAGGGGCCATTTCTGTCTGTTTCTGGTAGAAAGTGGCCATACTTGCCCTCAGGCGCATTGGAAGGTCTGGCTTCCTGCTGTGGTTTTATCTCCCAAGATCCTTTGCTATAAGGAATGTCCCTTGTCAGACACCGGGGCCTTTGGGAATACACTGATAGCATCAGCTACAAATCTGCCACAGCTGTAGTGTGGTGTGGCCCCTCCATATGGGGGTCGCTATGTGACTGCCCTGTGTTGAGAGGTGGGAGTGTAAGGTGGGGCAGAATCCAGCCTCCTGGCTTTTTGTCGCTCTCAGGCTTGGCAGTCAGGCCTGGAGTCACTGTCCTGCATAGACTGGTCCCTAGAGTTGGCTACAGAGGTAAAAGGAAGAATAGGCTAACCACCTTATCCACCCCTTTCACTCCCATCTGCACCCCTAGGTACTGGGCCTAATTGCTACACTGCTCTTTGGCTATGATGCCTACTTTACCTTCCCTCTTCGACAGCAAAGACATACAGCAGCCCCCACTGGTAAGTGTGTATGTGTTGTTGCAATAGTAGAGTAAAAAGGAATGGGATCTCCCAAGGAAAGGTATGAATGCCAACTCCATCTCTTACTGGTACTTAAGGGTTTTCTACCAATAAATAACATAAACCTCAGCATTCCTGTCTGTAAAATGAGCATGTAGATTGAGTCAATGTTCTCTTTTCCTCCTGCAGATCCTACAGATGGCCCAGTGTAGGTGAATTCTCATTTTTCTCTGCACCCTGCAAATAACTCCTCCATTGACAAAACTCCTCCCTATCCCCACAACACTCTCAGCCCCTTATTGAGGTAAAAGTGCCTTTATTGGGAGAATTTTGTCTTCCAGCTTGCCAAGCAACCCTCCCGGGTGTGGTCACCTCTGTGGGTGTGACTGGGTCTCCCTTCAGCATCCCAAAGGAGACCTCAGTCTTTGTGGACCCACACCCCTGCCTAAGCCACAGAAGGGGAGGGAGGTGCCTCTCATTTCACAGTGCCAGCTCTACATGGCGACCCATGGAAAGTGACCTCCTCAGTGTGGAGGGTGGTTCTCTGGAGTGGAAAATAAATAATAAAAAGATTGCTAAAATCTATAATTGAATAAATTAAATCTTTTGGCCAAATGCGGGTAGATCTCAAGCATCAGGAGGGGATTTTCTGTAGGGGGGAGTGCAGCTGGGGCCAGGAGACAAAGAAAGCCAGGCGTGTTTTACACATCAAATTCAACAATACAAACAGGAAGGAGGGAGGAAGGAAGGGGATTTATGACTTAGTTTCTGGTGGGGAAGCCATCAAGTACAGTACAGACTGGAGAATGGAGCCCCCTCTGGGGCTGTCTGCTTTCAAGCCACGATGCAATTCTTGTCTCGGGCCTGGCGAGGCATCCCTAGCTGAGAGTCCCCGCGGTGCTGTAGGGCTGTGGAGCTGGTCTCAGCTGGAGCATCCGGAGGGCTCCTGAGCCTGTACAGGTGTGGGGGCATTGGGATCCGTTCCCCTAGGAAGAAGCCATCATCCTCAGAAGACTCAGAGCTGGGACTGGAAGGTGAACTGGAGCAAGAGCCTGAGTCTGACCCTGATGCCAAGTCACATCGATGGCGGCCGTGTCTGCCAGAGTGGCAGTGATGGTGGTGATGTCTGCGGTGCTGCTGCCGCCGACGGCTGGGGACTCTGGGTGGGGGACTGCGTGGCCTTCGGCGCCAGGCTGGGGGTGCACTCAGTGTCCGCCGTGGACCTCCCTCAGACACCAGTGGGTCACGGAAGCTGACACGTGGGGTGCTCTGGCGACCAAAGGCACTATCTTCCTGGTGCAGTTCCGGTTGCCCAGGAGATTCCAGGGGAAGCTCTGGAGCACTTCGGAGACCCAGCTCAGGCATAGAGTGGCGGTGGGGAACCCCTCTCAGGAAATGGGAGGGCTCCTCAGGGCCTACAGGTGGGAAAGAAGAAGCCACTGACTCCCTGGGCTGCCCTCTCCTGGGAGAACTGAGGAAAGGCCTGCTTTCCCCCACTAGGGCTAGGGTCATGGTGGCAGGTATAAAAGACGGGCAGGGAGATGCAGAGGAACTAGGACTTTTTTTCTTATCATTAATATTTAGTTTTATTGTCTCTGGAAAAGATAGTATAGGAACTATACTATAGGCTGTCCTCATAATACAGGGATAGGAATAGCCTTAAAAAACAACTGTAAATAAGGGCCTGGGAGATGGCTCAGTGGAATAAGCACTTCCCTGGTAAGTGCAAGGGCCTGAGTTCAATCCCCGGTTCCGAAAAAAAAAAATTCTCAGCCCTTTTTTTCCCTGTACTTTAGGGAAGGGTCTACGGGGTGTTTAGGGTCTCACTACTAGATCAGACTCATAGTGATTCTCCTGTTTCCAGCCTTCCAAGTGCTGGGATTACAGGTGTGTGCCACCATGCCCAATCTCAACTGCTGGCTCAGCATGTCCCTGGGGCCTGAACCCTGCGCCTGCCTGCAGGCGCTTTAATCCTCTGAGCTATTTGGCTAGCCTTCTCAGTCCCTTTTTGAGAACTGAAATTATTAATAATTTGTGAAAATTAAGGTCAGGGGTCAGGGAGATAGCTCAGCATCATAAGCACCTGCCTGGCAAGCACAAGGTTCTGACTTCAATCCCTGGTACAAAAAAAAAAAAAAAAAAGGGCCGGGGAGATGGCTCAGTGGAATACGCGCTTCCCTGGCTATTTTTTTTAATGAGAATAAAAAAAAATAAAAAAATTATAAACTACAGAATTTCACTAAATAAAACTAGGAATTCGGGTCAGCCAGATAGCTCAGCAGACTAAAGTGCCTGCTTAGGCAGGTGCAGGGAGTGGTGTTCCATCCCTGGTGTGCTGTGCCAGCTCCATCCCTGGGGTGAGCGGAGACTGCAAATAAAACTGGGCGAATGAGACTGGGTGTGGTGGTACCAGCCTGTAATCCCAGCGTTTGGGAGGCTGAAACAGGAGGATCACTATGAGTTCAATCTGTAGTGAGACCCTATTGTCCCTGTACAAATGCTTAAAAAATGATAGGAATTTAACAATAGTTATTGCATATTGTTGTTTTCAAATTAGTTGCTCAGATTGCCAGATATAAGCATGAAATACTGGTTAAAAAATTAAAAGGAAGAAAAATAAAATATTTAAGCAGTCAGGCACGGTGGCACACGCCTGCAATCCCAGCACTCTGGGAGGCTTAGGCAAGAGAATCATTGTGAGTTTGAGACCAGCCTGGACTACAAACTGAGCTCAAGGCTAGCCTGAGCTGCATAGTGAGACCCTGTTTTTTTTTTTTTTTTTTTTGTTTTTTTTTTTTTTTTTTTTTTTTTGTGGAACCGGGGATTGAACTCAGGCCCTTGCACTTGCCAGGCAAGCACTTATTCTATTAAGCCGTCTCCCTGGCCCTGAGACCCTGTTTTATAAAGAAGAAGAAGAAAGAAAAGCAGTAACTTTTTTTCAATAGATTAGTAAAATGAGCAGTACAATTATCTATATCTATCTATCTATATTACTTCTTTCGCATCTTTTCGCCTTTCCCTCATCCCAGTTGTTTCTTCTCCTTGAGCAGGTTTTTCCCCTTTCACAGTATTATCTATTGTACACTTTGGATCTTATTTACTCTTTCATGTTCTTACACTAGGGAAGCAATATGGATGTTCACATCTGAGGCTTTTTTCTTTTTTTTGAAACGGTCTAGCTGTGTAGTCCAGGCTGGCCTTGAACTCACTAAGTAGCACAGACTAGCTTCAAACTCACAGCAATCCTTCTGCCTCAACGTCCCAGAGTGCTGGGATTACAGGGGAGCACCTCAACGCCCTGGTGCTGGAGACTGATTAGAGGATAGGAAGTAAGGCAAAAGTATTGAGGCAGGGTTGGTGCATAGGGTGTGGCCTGGGAATGGGGAAACTGTTTTCGGGAAAGGCGTGAGGTGTGAGCTGGAGCAGATTTGGTTTGCCACGGAATGGGGGAGGGACATGGGTGCAGGGGGGGCCCGTTGAATGAAAGGAAGAAAGTGCACTGGCAGAGGGAGGTTAAGATAAGGGTAGGGCCCTGTACGGAGGTGCGGGCGGACCAGGATTCCCAAGGCGGATGTAGTTTGGCTCACAGAGTAGGCCTGGAAAGCAGTGGGCAAGGAGGCAGGGCCGGCTGTCCTGGGTGAAAGGTGTGCATGGAGGTGGGTGGGGAGCTGGCTAGTTGTGAGTCTCACCTGGAGCTTCCTCCGTGCCTGTGCCTTTGGTGGCCGTCTCAGACGTCCCCTCCACAGCAGTGAAAAAGGCTGTGGAGGCTGCGAGTGGGGCGGTGACAGTGCCTGCACTCCAGCTGCGGCGGCCTGCTCTTGGGGCCGGGGTCGTGGGCTCCGACCCAAGGCTGCAAGCTCGAGAGCAGAAGATCAGACCGCGGCGGGGCAGGAAGGGGCGGCCCAGCAGGGCTCGACCGCAGCGACTGCAGCAGAAGCAGCGGTCCGTAGCGTGCCAGTGCTGGCCCTCATAAGCCATCTGGCCCTGGTCCAGACCTGCAGGGACCAACACGGTGGTAAACTGAGCCATACAGCACACTCTTCCTAAATAGGGCCTTTCTTAGATGGAAGTGAGGACACTGAGGCAGGTACCCAAATTTACTTCTCCCTCCTGGAATGGGTTTTTTTTCTGCAGAAAGCAGGAGACTTGCGGTTTGGCCTTCACCCCATGATTCCTCATCCCCTTCTCCTGGAGAATGGCTGGTAAATGTCTCCCTGGCTCTCTTCCCTTTCTTTCCCAGGAGGCCCTTCTAAGAGTGGAGGTAAGCACTGGACTCCAAGATGTGGGCCAGGCTTAGACATTAGGGGTGGCAGCTTCAGGTGGAAGGTTAGTAGAAGGCTGGACTTGAAGAAGAGATCTGGATGGTAGGGGCAGGATTTAGGTTGGTGGGACCTAACAGAAGCTGATGGAGAACAGCATGTAGGTCAAGGCAGCAGAGGCAAGGCTTACAGTGTTCTTGGCCAGAGGGCAGAGGTGTATAGTGGTGGCGATTACAAAGGTGGGATTTACAAAGAATGCCATAGCCGGCAGTGGGACTTGCAGTGAAAGGCACAGGCCTCTGGTGCTGGGACTGGACTTCAAAAGTAGAGTGCAGTGGGAGGTGGTGCCAGGAGGCCAGGTGGGCTCCCATGGGTGTGGCTGTAGCCCAGCTGTGCATGCGTCCCTCCACCCAGTCCCATAATGTTCACCCACCGATGTGTTCCCCACAGCCATCACAGTACTCTGCATGGCGGGCCTCGTAGCAGGTGCAGCAGTGGGGGCGGCTCTGACGCATGACATATCGCTGTCCTCCTAGCGAAGCTTCACACTCGAAGCAGCAGAAGTGACCCATGTGCCAGTGCCGGCCTTCAGCCTCTGTGCACTCAGGGGAGAAGATGATCTGGAGGGTGCAGGCCACCGATGGCTGTCAGAAGGGCTAGATCCTGCCCTTGCCCCCCCCCCACTCCTACCCCTGGGCAGGGAGGGCACACACCTCATCACAGGCTTGGCAGCGTGGGCGCAGGCGCTCAGCGTGGTGACGCCCACAGTAGACCTTGCCAGCATGATAGAAGTAGATTAGGTCAACAAGCAGCTCACGGCATGTGGTGCACACAAAGCACTGTGGGTGCCAACAGGTGCCCAGGCCAGCACGACTCGCAAACACTGCAATGTCTCCGCCTCCAATTTGCTTCCCACACTGCCAAATTACAGGAAAACACTGTCACCATCACCGAGATGCTCACATTGATGGGGTCAGCCAGATAGTTCACACATGAGTCTTCCCCATGGTGAACCTTTGTGAGTGGACCCACCTACAGGGTAATTTTGAGACCTTTGGGGGAG